CTTCCATATTTTTTAAGAAAAAAATGGTACGCCAATGGTTTTTTGCCAAATAAAATTATTTTTGAATGCCCCATTCGATTTAAAACAAATGATCTGTCTTGAATTGTTTTTTTTGATGCGTCAGTTTTGAGTAAAAAAAATAAAAACCGTTCTATCCTCTAACTTGCAGAATTTTTATTAATCTAATTGGAAAAATTAAACACATTAGGCGTAATGAACAACAACAACTGACAACATAAACATAACACTAAAACCAACGAAATGATTACAAAAATTGATGAAAATGGCGCACTTCACTTAGTATGCATGTTTCCGCCCTCCTCATGGAATTGCGCACTCGTTGTAATATCCCTGGAGTGTTTTTTATTCTATCACAAGCTGCAACTATTCTTTCTCTTAATTCATCTACAGTGGTACTGGGACTTGTGTACACTAGTGTCTTAAGCTAACTCCAGAAAAATAAATCTAAACTGTTGAGGTCTGGGGACCTTGGTGGCGATTCTTGGGGCCCACCGCGACCAATCCAACGATTTTATAAACAGTTTGTAAATAATTACGAACCGCTACACTGAAATGCGCTGATGCACGATCATGCATGTTCCACATATTGTTTCTTATTACTAATGGAACATCATCAAGCAGCATAGGCCACTGTTGTTGAAGAACATTGAGGTGAGTCTGTCCGTCAAGTCGTCCCGGCAAGAAGAATGGGCCAATAAACTGGTTGCCAATAATTCCTGCCCATACGAAATGGGTTTCGGTTACGGCATAGAGATTTTATTCTACCCACAAATGATTAATGTGGAAATTCTGAATGGCATTTCGAGAAAAATTAGATTCGTCCGTGAACAGAATCACTGATTCAAATTGCGAATTTTGTGTAATTTTTTGAAGATACCACTGACAAAAGGTCACACGCCTGGGAAAATCAATGGGAAGTAATGCCTGTACTCTTAAGATATGGTAAGGATATAACAAAAAATCCACTAACATTCTCCAAACAATTTGATGGCAAATATTTAAGTGTCTAGCGATCTTCCTCGTACTCGTTTCAGGATGTTCTTCGACTTCGTGCGGCGCTGCTTCCTGAATTTCAGGTGTTCTCACACTTAGAGGTCTACCTTCAGATGTTCCTGTTCAGACAGAACCAGTTTCAACAAGACAACGATGAATATTAGAAAAGGTTCGACTACCTGGCAAAGCACGATCGGGATATCTCTGGTGATAAATCCGTCTGGCTTGCTCACTATTACCGTCGGCAAGGTCATATACTCGTACGTAATGCATTTTCGCCATTTCTGCGTTTGAATAATTCACCATTATTAACCAGATTGTAAAAACTGAATAATGAAAAAGATGTCACAGCGAACTGATTTGAATAACAGAGACTTGTCAGATGTCAAAAGCCAGTGACATATTCCAGAGCAACTAGTTATTTATTGGTAAATTGCATTCTTCAATTATTACATTAATCTTCTCGGAAAATAGAACGGTTTTTATTTCTTTACTCAACAATTGAGCATCGAAGGAAAGCAACTCAAGAGAGATTATTTTGTTTTAAATTGAACGATGAATTAAAAAATAATTTCTATTTGGCATAAAACCGTTGGCGTAACATTTTCTTCTAAAAAAACATCGAAGTCAATACCCGTACGCACGCCACTGTTAAAGCTAAAAATTATTTTTGCATTGAAAAATATGCAACTTTATTAACTTTCACTACGTGCTAAATATCCGTCAATTATCTGAAGCGGTTCCGAAAATATTAATTAATTTCCATTTTTTCCTAAAACTTCAACACCCCGAGTTTTTGTAAGGAAACATTTTTGTACCATAGTTTATAAAGCAAAGTAGTAACATTAATTTTTCATGTAGATTAACACCCTTAAATATTCGCATATCATTAAGGAACACTCTGCATACTGTCATAGTTCTTTTCCTTCAGTTTGCACGCATATTGTCGTTTAAAGTCATTACAGTCAGAACTATGCACGTGTCCATTCGAGCTCTAATTTAATCAGTAAACAATAAGCTAGTGAGTACCATTGTTTTGTTGTAATACATAAATTAGTAATTGAATAGCAAGCTATTAACGCTAGCCGCTTAGAGCCCCGATTACTGGTTTCAGCCCGAAAGTCTCCATAAATGCCTAGCTGAAAATAATGCAGTATGCAATATACGATATTGACGTATATTCTGGCTGTATTGGTTGGAAAAGGCGTAGCTGATAAACTGATTGGATCACTGCATTAAAAATATTTGAAGAATGCCTGGTTAGTTTATCTACTGTAACCCAGATGGCATAATATCTAATTGAATCCTATATAACTGGCAGATCTCAGGCAGTAATCTTACAGAAACAAAAATCTAGCTTGAGCTTTTCAATGGTGTCCCGCAAGGCTCCGTGTTAGGCGCACTGCTTTTCATACTATACACCTCTCAGCTCGACAGATGCCTAAAACATTGCTCCTATCACTTCTATGTTAATGATACACAGCTGTATATAACATTTGAAGAGACGGACATCGAAAAAGCATGTGATCAGTTGAGTGAGGACTTATTTTAAACTTTAGCATTGACATCTGAGAAATACTGTCTGACACTAAACCCTTCGAAATCAGTGGTGATGTTCTTTGGTAGGAGTCAGGCTCGAAACAGATGCCTAAGTAAAATAAATATTAGCGTAAAACATGAACAAATTATTCTAATAGATGGAAAAAAAAGATCAGGGTGTTCATCTAGATTATTCACTCAGGTTCTCGGAGCATGTCACGTCTGTGTTAAAAAGAGGATATTGTAATCTTAAACTCCTATATAATAGTAGACGTATCCTCACGCAGCAGTCGAAGAAAATTCTTTTAGACGCTTTAGTGTTGTCACATGCTACTTATGCAGATGTACTGTTTATGCCATGCTTACGTAAAGGCGACGAAGAAAGCTTGCAAAAACTTCAAAATTCATGCGTGCGTTTTATCACGGGAGCTAGGAGGCGAGATCATGTTTCTCAACACTACTCTAGCCTACAACTGTTACGAATGAAAAACCGAGGCCTGCGTTACAAATATTCAGTTTCTATTCCTAGATTCCGTACATCGTTTTTCAAACATTCTTTTTCTTACAATGTCGCATGGCTGTATAATAAGGTACCGATTGCATACAGAAGTTCGTCTATGAATTTGTTTTTATTTGGCTGATGACTGTACAATATGAAGCATACGAAATTTAACTCGTCTTTCTGTGAACACAGCAGCTTTTCATTTCTGATTTCTTTCAACTCTTTTTGTGTCAAGTTACTGGGATCACGGTAAGGTCTAGGTGAACAATTGTTGTATTTTTGTTTCGGTTGAGTGGAAGAGCGGATCTGCCGTTTGTCAGGAAAGCAGCTCGAATTCGTTGGAGTTCTATGTATATTTTTTGTGTGCTTATCTTGGCAATAAAAATCATATATTATTATTACTATTATTATAAATTGGGAGGCGCTACAGAATGGTCTGCGTACCATCTGAAGTTTCATACAAGCATCCCTTCAAGATACCGAGACAGGCACATTAGTCGAGTCATTTCGACACGAAACTAAGCCACCAAAATTCTAGTATCCAATACTATGTACCCTAATAAAATCAATATTGTTTAGAATAACCGCTTTGAGAATGAGAAATCTCAAGGAGGAGCACTTTCATGTATTCATAAAATGAAGATATGTCTACGCTATCTCGGGGACCTTGGATATCAACAAGGTTTTGGTCAGGAACTTGGTGTTAGTGAAGCAACGGAATCTCGAACTGTGGATAGAGTTGTGAACAGTATAGTTGCACTGTCGAACGAATGGATCAAGTTTCCAACTACCAACCATAAACTGATGGAGACCAAGCGGATATGGCAAAGCATGTATAAATATCCGACAGAAATTGGTGTTGTACACGTATAGGAATTCTGAAACCAAATCGACATGGAGATGAGTATATCAACCGAAAAGAGGAACCTACTTTAAATGTGCAAGCGACTTGTGATGCCAGAGAGATGTTCACAAGTGTTGATGTCAGTTGGCCTGGATCAGTGCATGATTCCAAAATATGGAGAAATTCACAGACTAGATCACAACTAATAAATAAAGTAAATATACTACTTGGCGATGACGGTTATGGTACTGAGCCATGCCTTATGACTCCCTTCAGGAATCCTACTCCAGGTGCAGAAATAAATTATAATAAGCTTTTAAAACAGCTTGGGCGATCCTGACTTTGAGTTAGTTGAACAAGACTCAGAAGAAGATGAAGGAAATCATGAGAATGGCGAACTTCCCCTCCGCCAACTAGATCAACAAATAAGAAGAAACTTAAAGTGTATTTATAAGTTATAATAAGCTTTATTTTCTTGAACATAATAAGTTACAGGTGGCTTCTGACGCTGCATCATTTCTAATTTCGTTTTATAATACTCTTGTTGTAAAATACTTGTTTGGTACTGCTGTAATAGCACTAACCGTTGCAGTTCTTTTGTAGTTAACCCGTTGGTTTTCTCAGTTTCGTATTTCTCTGTTGCTAATTTTCTGGCGCTGTAATACTAACTGTTTGCTTACTGCGCTCGGTATATAGTTCACTTCCTTCTTCTTGAACACTACCAACCTGAATGGCACATTTGATTTTCCCAATTGTAGGATAATAGTCACCTTCCATAGCTTTCAGCAACTTTCTTTCTCAATCTAACAATTTAATCGCTTTACTACCAGGTTTTTTTTAGATAAATTTTTTTCTTCAGTCTTGATTTCATGTTGTTGATTTTTTTTAATAAGCCTTCAGTATCTAAAGGATTACCGAATGTTGATTCGTATTTTTTCAAAATGTCTACGCTATCTCGGGGACCTTGGATATCAACAAGGTTTTGGTCAGGAACTTGGTGTTAGTGAAGCAACGGAATCTCGAACTGTGGATAGAGTTGTGAATAGCATAGTTGCACAGTCGAACGGATGGATCAAGTTTCCAACTACCAACCATAAACTGATGGAGGCCAAGCGGATATGGCAAAGCATGTATAAATTTCCGACAGCAATTGGTGTAATTGATTGTACACGTATAGGAATTCTGAAACCAAATCAACATGGAGATGAGTATATCAACCGAAAAGAGGAACCTACTTTAAATGTGCAAGCCACTTGCGATGCCAGAGAGATGTTCACAAGTGTTGATGCCAGTTGGCCTGGATCAGTGCATGATTCCAAAATATGGAGAAATTCACAGACTAGATCACAACTAATAAATAAAGTAAATGTACTACTTGGCGATGACGGTTATGGTACTGAGCCATGCCTCATGACTCCCTTCAGAAATCCTACTCCAGGTGCAGAAATAAATTATAGTAAGCTTTTAAAACAGCTTGGGCGATCCTGACTTTGAGTTAGTTGAACAAGACCCAGATGAAGATGAAGGAAATCATGAGAATGACGCACTTCCCCTCCGCCAACTAGATCAACAAATAAGAAGAAACTTAAAGTGTATTTATAAGTTATAATAAGCTTTATTTTCTTGAACATAATAAGTTACAGGTGGCTTCTGACGCTGCATCATTTCTAATTTCGTTTTATAATACTCTTGTTGTAAAATACTTGTTTGGTACTGCTGTAATAGCACTAACCGTTGCAGTTCTTTTGTAGTTAACCCGTTGGTTTTCTCAGTTTCGTATTTCTCTGTTGCTAATTTGCTAGCGCTGTAATACTAACTGTTTGCTTGCTGCGCTCGGTATATAATTCACTTCCTTCTTCTTGAACACTACCAACCTGAATGGCACCTTTGATTTTCCCAATTGTAGGATAATAGTCACCTTCCATAGCTTTCAGCAACTTTCTTTCTCAATCTCACAATTTAATCGCTTTACTACCAGGTTTTTTTTAGATATTTTTTTTTCTTCAGCCTTGATTTCATGTTGTTGATTTTTTTTAATAAGCCTTCAGTATCTAATGGATTACCGAATGTTGATTCGTATTTTTTGAACATCTTCTTCAAGGCATCGTCCTTTCTCATTTTATTTTTGGAACTTGTGACTTGTGCAAAATAATGGGAGCAATGGCAATTTCATCTGCGATGAACTGCAGGTCGTTGCCATTATTTTCTATAGTTTCCTCATCACTTGAGGATGACATGCGTATTAATTTGATAAAAAACTGTATCCAACAAAAATACAGAATGGTCTGTGTAAGCTCTGGAGTACAACTGTCAGTGATGCTGAGTGAACAAACTCTCACGTCTACTACAAGCTGGAACAAGTCAGGACATGTCGCTCACGATACAAATACCAGTCAACCTTACTTCTTCTTGGAGGATCTCCTCGCGAGTATAAGGAAATCATTATGAATATGAAGACAAGGATATGGTTATACTTCTACCTTGTTCTCCGAAGCAAGACCTTATACTTTTACCTTATGCTTCCGAGGATATGCTTCTCTTTTATGAATACGGCTCAATATTTGTATTTTTGGTATCTATATTATAAATATATGAAACCGAGCTTCCTGAAAGGCGCATTATTTTTGTGCGTGCTCAAAGAAATAATGAAATTTGCTAAATGTAAGCGACTAGGAAAATGTTTAATGATAAAATTTTTAAATTTATCTACCCCAGCGATAGTATCGAATTTCAAGGCATGACAGGTCATTATAGGTATATTTTGTATCAGAGTATTCCTTACGATATATTGAAACATGTTGAATAATCTTCTGGTAAGGAAAAATGAACTAAACTCCTAAAAAAGCAAAAATTGTCCATATTCATCTTAGATATGAACGGTGGTTAGCATTTAGGCATCTTCTATAGATGAAATAGATTGGTTACATAAATTTGCTAAAAATTAAAATGCTGTGTATCCTCGTTTTTCCGCTCATGTGTTGCAAAAAAATGTTTGAAGTTCTTATATCAATTTGACCCCAAGTGAATCAGCCGAAAAATACTGATAAAATGTGACTATACATTTTGTGATACATTGTAACGTCAGAATCTTATGCCGGGTGACAGTCTACGCAAAAGCCTTATTACCAGCACAGGTTTAGCATGAAATATCTCATTTGACCGAGAAGTACAAGCTTTGGACAGTTCTTATTCTTATGAATTAAAGTCAAAATACTCGGAATATATTTTTTTGAAAGTTGATATTAAGCTTGTTTTTTGAAAATACCTCATTACCATTGAAATAAACGCAGAGGCGAAGTCGAATTTTAGAAACAGAGGTACAGCTGATAAAAGCAGTAGTTTATAGAAAGAGGTAGAATGCAAGACGCGGATGCCGCCCTTTTCTTGTCGAGGACTCCGGAACCATGAATATGTATGAGTAATTGTTTACGAAATCTGCTTTGGCTTTGAAATCCGCGGTTCGAGCAGATTAATTCAGGGTTGCAAAGGGTCCCGCTTTCAACGCTACCTTGGGTTTTGGTTGGGCTATGTTTATTGTGCATGGATTTGGCAAAATTTGTACAGTGTATCGCTTGAACAAAGCAATTTCCAAATGAAGACCTCAGGGAGATATTATGCTGCTCCGCCAAGCAACAATGTCAATGATGTTCATCACATGTTAGACCCTGTCGTAATAAGACAGCATCGTTGACCTCATATCCTGGATAGGAAATAGCATGTTTTCGTTAGTCCCAGAGAGCTGATGAGCAGCCCAAAAGTACGGTAGGCTTTCTTTGATCAGACAGACTAAGGCAGCATGTTCATTAGACCCTCTGCGAAAAAAGCTAGTTACTAACATATATAAACAGAAATGAAACGGATCAAGCATGTCAAACAGGTCCACATAATTACTCCATGGACGGTACTACGGGTCTACCAGGGAAAGGATGTCGCCATTAAAAGGCACGAAGGGTGATCGGCGGCATATTAGTTACCTTCTGATTTCATCCAAATCCTAGTGGTACTTTACAACTTATAGACGGGCTACGGGTTAGCGGACAGATAGACCTACAGACCGTGAGGCAGACCGACGGAAATGAGTGACATGGTTTTTCGTGTTATATAACCTCCAAAAAACATAAAATCTCACTTTCGTAATTTTTACTATATTATATTACATACTATACACTATCACTTCCTTGTCGAAACAAGATCGAGACTCGCCAAGACATTTTTAAAACTCCTTTAGAAAATTGATTTTAGAAAAAAAATCTACAATTGTTTATGTTTATTTGTTGTAAAATTTAAATATTTCAAACATAAAATAAGCAACAACTGTGCATAACTATATATTCTGCATACGTTCAGAAAGTGATTCCATTTTGCACAATTTCAATTGTCATAGTTTCGTCTGTTTTGTAGTACTTTGAAACAGGCCAGAATTTTTCGACGTGTACACTTGCCTAGTGCGTACCGAACGACGGCTGAATGTCGACTAATGTCAAGGCGACCCTAGAGCAAGTATATACCTGCCCTGTCCGGAATTTCATTCTAGGACTATCCGTAAACAAGATATAAACGTATATAGACGAATATATACAACTCAAAAATTTGATTTTTGGCCAGCTTTTTAGGATTCTGCCCCTCTGTGCAACGGCCACTTTGCTGATAGTGGCCTGAATTACTCCAACCTGTATTTCGCTAGGATGGCAAGCGGGCTGCAGGACAAGTAGGTTACATTATGTTGTATTAACTTAGAACAAAGTGTGAAGATCGCAGTTATCTGCTTGTCGGCACAACGGCGGGCATGCAGATAACTGTGCGAATTGACCTTTGCTTCCGATGTAGGAAGTCCATATGCCGCAAACGGTTCGATAGGGTTAGTAAAGCTGATGCCATTTCTGGAGTAGTGTCATAATCTCAAAATTGCACACACAGCTAGTGTAAGTCACTGAGAGTAAGTACGCAGTATGAATTTCTCAAAGATCACAATCTGACCTCAGTAGTTGCAGATGACATTTGCAGTTGTAGTTACATAATATGGACGCCAGTCTGGCATGCTTTCTTTTACAGAAGACGGCTGTACTCTGAGCCAGCTATATGGCCTCGCCAGATCTTTTACCTTCGCTCTATGGTAATAACAATGTGCAACAAGCTACAAACTAATAATATCTCTATAGGCATTAGATTGTTAAAAATTCATGTGAACAACATTTTCTGACAGGATCAGACACGGTACTCTGCATTTGACGTTTTTTGCTGCTTCGGTATAGAAAAATTCCGATCAAATTAGGCAGTACTTTTTATAAATATCATCATTTCACCTCCAGATCAGTTGTGATAAAATCCACGCTTGTTCAGCTGGTCTTCTACAATCAACGTACCGTGATAAAAATTACCGAGTTAAAGAACTCCTGAATTAGAATAACCACTCGGCATGTCGGAAACATTCGGCTGAGTGTTGCCTGGCACGAAACCTGTAAGAATACGCCGTTTATTGAACGAAACAGCGGGAACAAGCAAGTAGGAGATTATAATCGCTCGTATTGATTGCGCGGTTTTCCCGTCCACAGTATTATATACTGCTACATGCTAAGCTCTCGAAGTCAATCTTTCATCAGGGTTTTTTTAGCTTCACGGTATCAAATGGCACCTTGCGTTTGAGCACTGGAGTTTCCAACGAATTGTCATTCAGCATGATTACACTTGGCTCTAATGAATACATAATTTCAGGTTAATATAAAAGACGTTCTATTCTCAAACGTTTAATTTCGGTTCGTTGCGTATTTCGACATAAACACAGCCCAGGTTCTACTTTGTTGAATACATTTTATTGTTGAAAGTGTTTAGGATAAGACTTGGGTGCTGTAGTGGTATATAGTGTAATAGTGAAAGAATAGATGGCAATGACGGAACGTCTCTGAATCATTCCGAATGTTAAATCCTGTTCAAAGTTAGAAGCTGGATGGAAACAATTCTACAGTGTTAGATCTGGATAATTTTTGCCAGTCAAATATAAAGCCACCAGAATCTGACCTTCCTGTAACTAAGGGTACCTATTAGCTACAGAATCCACGCAGTATTTATCCTGTCAATGTTCCGGTTGAGGAACATCTATAAGCCATTACTACAAGTACTAATAAGTGAAACAAGCACAGAAAATACGGCACAGTATTAAGTGCAAATTATGTGGACGGTCGTATAAGAGAATGCCTGACATCAAAAGGCACGTGGTCAGAAGACACTTAATAGAGTTTCATAATAAATTGGTGTTAAGGAAAATATTATGATGGCAGTACCTACTTAGGTTATTTATGTAGGCGTCTGTTGAACTTGTAAAATATATACACTTGATATTATAGCAAACACTTCATGAATTGAGTAAAACATATTAATGGGTCAACCTTTCAATATTCAACAATTCTACTTTAACCAATTGCATCCATTCCAAACCTTGGATTGTAAAAGTGAAACCTT